TGTAAATGTAATAAATATAAGTACTATATCGGGCGATAAAAGCCGCCATTTGTTTCTCCTTTAATAACGTGTTGAATAGGAGACTTCGTGCGTGTGTGCGTGAGTGAGGTGAGTGAGTGAGTGAGTGAGTGTGCGTACGTACACGTACTTCGTAGGGATCAATATCAATATCAATATTTAGATAGGAGAACCGATGTTTTGTATGGTATGCCCGTATATGTCGGATAAAAAGGAATGAACTAATGTAGTGTGTCGATTTTTATAATCAAAAATATTTAGGTTCTAATATACTATCGCTATATATAAGTATATAAGTATATAAAGTATATAAAGTATATAAAGTATATACGTAATAAAGTAGCAAAGTGATAAAGAATCGAACTGCTTTTTTTATCTTATCATTTACGCATCACCCCCTTTGTAAGTTATAAGACTAATAAATAATATGTGTTGATCGGTTTTTTTTTTTTTTATAAAGGTAAATTGGTAAATTCGTGTATTTTTTTCACCTCCTCAAAAGTTTTTAATTACGACTAACGACTAATAACTTTTTTTGCAACAGGCTTTACCAGATTTTTACTCGCATATATACCTTGTACATATAACTGATTATAAAAACCCTGTTTGACCCTGACTATTTTGGGTTTTTTTTTTGGTACGTACTTAACAGTTAATTACCGATTCGAGTATACACTTATTAATACATACAATATAAATGTGATATACGCATAGTTATTTTATATGTAACATAGTAGTGTCTCTTTTAATACTGTAATATCACCATTCAACTAATTTGAGTAATATCATTTGTGCAGCTTTATCGAGACTGTAAACTATAAAAAAAAAAAAAAAATTATATAAAGTGCGTAATACAGCCTTCTTGTAGTTTTTTTAAATCGCAGTACATACCATAACACATGTATCTGCGCCACTAAAAGCTTTATTTATATCTTTTGAATATCTTTTGAAGCAAATAAACTAGTACGTATCCCAGTACCACGTCTTATTTTACTTTATTTCAGATATATACCCAATACGTGATTTATTATTCTATTTTGTGGTTATAAATAATATAACGTTGATTTCTCGCCGATCATCTTATTCTTTACTCGGACTGTTACATTTGAAAAATACCGTACATACTGTACATTCTGTACTTTTGTTTATTATAAAAAAAAAATTACTGAAGGTAAATAAATAAATAAGCCCGGATTATCCTTTTTTTTTTTTTTTTTTTTTATAATCTCTTATTGCTAGATTATTTTTTTTCGCTCCGGTTATACGTATATAATTCGAATTATATTTTAATTTATTCGAATTATTATTCGATTATTATTCGAATTATTATTCGAATTATTATTCGATTATTATTAGATTATTACGATTGGTGTTCTTTTTTTTATTTTAAAAGACTTGCGTGGTTTGTAAGAACTTTTTGTTGGACGCCCTGGTTTCTTTTTTCTTTTAATCCTTTGCTATATCGGCTTTCGGCCTTCGGCCTTCGGTTTTCGACTTTGGACGTTTCTATTTTAAGCAAGACCAGGAAAAAAAAACAAAAGTCCTTGGTTCCTTTAAAGTTCATTCCCTGAATCCGATATATATAATTATAAATAAGGCCCTTTTTTTTCCCTTTTTTTTTTTTAAAAAAAAAAAATAATTGTGGTGTGATTCTTTTCGTCGATACCGTAGATTTTTTTTTTTTTTTTGTATCATTGGATTTTCCAATCGGCCAACCGGTTGAGGATATAATCTTCAACTTTCCAGAACAAGGTGACATTCTTTTCCCTTTAGATGATTGTTATTCCTTTATCCCAATATAATAGTAATTTTGACTTTCTTGTATCATCATCCTCATCATCCACATCATTTCGTTTGATGTATATATCAAACTATTTATTTTTTTATTTATTTATTTATTGTTTTTTGAAATAAAACACTATTCTTGACCATTTTTTAATTTTCTTGTAACTTAATAAAACCGTTTTTTTTCCTTTATCAGGCTAGTTTTTCCAGTCAAATACGAACAATTACCTTTTTCATTCATTTTATTCGTTAATTCCCCTATTTCATATTTCCTATTTCCTATTTCTTATTTCCTATTTCCTTTTTGTTTTTCCCGTTCGTTTTGGATTTGGAATAACTAGAATAATATTACTATAATATTACTATAATATTACTATAATATTACTAGGAGGATAATATTTAAATAACAACGTAAAGAATGTCATCACAAAATGATAATTCTGAATCTTCTACCTTTTCAACTTCTGGATTTTCTACCTCTGGAGTTTCAAGTTTCGCAAAATGGATAAAAAGTCAATTATCACGTAGTGATAAATCATCTAAAGAAAAATCTACAAAACCTTTTTCACCTTTAAAAAATCCCACAAGAGTTTTTGCCACCTTTCCTGGTCCTTCAAAATTTTCCTCAAAACTTTCTCGTAAAGTTGTTGAGAAAAGTTTGAAACGTTCAAAGTCTTTAACATCACCATCTGCAAATAATAATAATACTACCACCACACATAACGCGGCCACACATAAGACGGCCACGAATAAAAGGGATAAGAATAATCCAACGGTGAAAAAGAAACGTCCAAATAGTATTTGTGCAGAACCAAATTTTTGGGTTAATGAAGAAATTCTTGAAAGTGACGATCTCATACCGAAGACCATATTTTCAGAGCCGAATATTTATGAACTATCACAAAAAGATTTTGTATCAGGACCTTCCAAAGAAGATTGTTTGGAAAATACTTTTATCGTTCGTGGATCTATTGAACATTTTGCTTATGTAAGAACCTTACGCAAAATAGGAGCAGCACGAAGTCGACCAAGACCTTTTTATCAAGCTTTTATGTTAAAAAATACCATAACTAAACTTTCAAATACACCAGAATTCTCGGATTCACAACGTGAAGAGTTACTTAGATACAAGACAATGATTTATTCATTAAATAATAAAAAACGTTTCGCTGATTCACAAGTTGACAATTTTAATTCACCATATAAAAATTCAACTATATCCTTGTGTGTTACTGAATTACCAATGTCTTCATCATCAGTATCATCAGTATCATCAGTTTCATCAGGGATTTCACCGTCATCAGTTTCATCAGAGATTTCTCCATCATCAGAAATTTCATCCTCATCAGAAATTCCATCCACATCGGGGATATTATCCTCATCAGAGAGATCATCCTCATCAAAAATTTCAACCTCATCGAGGATTTCATCTTCATCGGGGATCTCATCCTCATCGGGGATCTCAACCTCATCGGGGATCTCATCCTCATCAGGAATTTCATCCTCATCAGAGATTTCAGGAATTTCAGGAATTTCAGGAATTTCAGGAATTTCAGGGCGTTCATCCACTTCCAAGTCACCATGTCAACTTTCAACGGCTAATAAACGAATAACATTTTTAACGGAATATAAACCATCATATTCACCAATTGTAATGAATTATCGACCTTCATATGCATCAACAAAAGTTTTGACAATTTTTGATGAAACATTAAATAAATTGGTCACCAAAGATTTACCACTTGCACGAAGAAGAAAACGATTAAGTAAATCTAGCATTTCAAGTAACATTAGTAGTGCCAATACACTTGTAAGAACATCATTATCATCATCAACATCTTCATTATCATCAATATCTACTCTAACGGATACCGTAGAGCTAACCAGTAAAACAACTATTAAACAATTACAACCACAACAACAGATACAACAACAATCATCAACATCCATAACAACAAATTCGATTAAAAATTTGGATAATCAATTAAAGAATTATAATAGTGATGATTCTGATGATTCTGAAGAAGATGAAGATAACGTGCCTTTATTTGTTCTTAAAGAACAATTTAAATATTCGGGTAGAGGTTGTGCTTTTCCTAAAATTACAAATATTACAAATATTATTGGGGTTCCTTCGGTTGATGAAAATCTTTTATCTCCGATGACTTTGGCCATATAAAAAAAAAAATTAAAAAAAAAAGTATATACATATATATATATATATAGATATATAACATTATCAATTAATCCTTAAATCCTTAATCTAGAGGATTGTAACTTGGGGTCCGTGTATTTGTTTTTTTCTTGTTTAGCATTGGATGGATCATTATCAATGGATCATTAAAGATGTCATTATTAACATCATTATTAAAACTTATTGAATAAATTTTGGTGATGAGTTTATAATGTGAAAGAAAAAGAAGGCATCTTTATTTTTTTTTTCTTTCTAAATTTACTTATCAACAACAAAAAAAAAAAACTCTTTTTTTTGAGTATGGAATGAATTCATATTTCAAAGAAAAAAAAAGTATCTATATATTTTTGATAAACATTTTTTTCCTTTTTCTTCTGTAAATAGAGTTTCTTGTTTGTTTTTTCTTTTTTATTTGGATCAAAAAACTTTTTTTTATATACGTAATATATATATATATATATTATATCATCAACAGCCAACAGCCAACAGATACGTATGTTATACGTATACGTGTTGTCGGTTCAGAACATTATTTATTTCTTCAAAAAAAAAAAAAAAAAATAAATTTAATTGCGATACATACACAAAAAAAATTTTTTTTGGTTTTCTTAGAATATTAATGGTTTCATTTCATTGCACTTATGTTGTTATGTAAAAGTTTGCGCAGAGTTATAATGCAAGTTATAATGCAAGGTTATAATACATGTAATACAGAGTTATAATACAGTTAAAATACAGATGCATAATCAGTTATAATACAGTGTTTATAATACACAGAATTATAATACAAAGTTATGGTGGAGGACTCATTTATTTCCCACCGTGATACAAACATGTTTTGGATTCTTCATGCATAATGCTTCATTAATTTTAGAGGATAAAAGTCATAGGATTAAAATATAACTGATGCTCGCACTTCACTCATCATTCCCAACGTCAAATCTTTTTTTTACAACTATAACGATAATATTTAATAACTGATGCTTCTCAGGATCGATTGCACGATAAGGCGCAACTTTGAATCTGATGCTCGATATGATGATAATACACGATAATACATGAATTATTCTTGTATACAGTACGTGCATATTGATATTAATTGATTCATTCCCTCCACAATTCATTGAATAACACGTGGCTTATTATTATATGATATCATTATTAACATTACCTTTTTTCATTATGTTCTGAATAAAGCTATTCCCAAGATAACAAAGTACCGGTAACAACAAATAACAAGAAATAACAAGGTAGTAACAACAAATAACAAGAAATAACAAGGTAGTAACAACAAATAACAAGTACCAAAGTAACAACAAAGTAACATCTAAGTAACAACAAAATAATAATAGAGTAACAACAAATAACAAAGTAACAACAAAGTAACATTAATGTCCCGATAATGTAACGTTAAACAAAATATTTTTTTATCGTCTCAAACTTTAAATAGTTCTTGTGCTATGTATAATTAGATCTTTGAAGTTAAAAAAAAAAATCTGGGTGTACAGATCGACAATTCAACATTTGTCAGCTGTCATGTATAAATTTATAAATTTATAATATTTTATATTTTTAACTAGTTTTTATACGTATTACCTGTTACAAATACTTAATAGGTATAATATCATATGTATGGTCTTGATTTTTCTCAAGAAATTTCTAATTTTGATTTTACCACCGTTATTTATTTATCGTTTATCGTTATTTACGATTATCTTTTTGTGCACACGCACGTACGTACATACCTACGCGCGTATGTACGCACATATGTACTCCACATGCCAATATCAAATATCAATATCAAAATACGTACCAATACCAATACGTGTTTTAACGCTAACCTGTAATGAAACTGGCTTGAAATTTTAATTTGCAAAGCCCTGAGATCGTCATCAAGATCTTGTCATTGATAACTTTTTTTTATTTACCCAAATAAATGTTTTCAGGGTTCAATTTCATTAAATCATTAATACAAAAGGGAATAAGTATGATAAAAATCCCGGCGCCCAATTTCTATATTAATAATAACTTTTTTTATTGAGTTTCCTTTTTCCCCTTAACACTAACGCTAAATCAAATTTTAATGTTTATACGGACGTACAGTACGTAAAAAGAAAAAAACCATCTTTTTTTAAAATTACACAAAAATCAATCACTATGATCATTCACTATCTCAAAACGTTTGACCAAATGTAAATAAAAAGACTTTCAATGCAGATATGCACTGTGTGAAGAGCAATGCAATTTAACTCGGATTTTTAATCCTAATGTTATTGGTTCGAGATCTCTTATCATTTTAAATGCTACAGAAAAGTCGCACTACATCAATCATCAGAACAATATTCGAGGTTTATTTTAAACGTTCTACGATATTTATCTCTATAAATTATAATTTGGCAATAACAGAACCCGAAAGCGCTATACGAGAAACCGAAAAATATGTCAAGTTTTTTAAAGATTTCATTTGAAAGTTATCATATATGCGAGCTGAACATTTAATATCCATATTTTATTTTCAATTACGGTTTAATTAACGACAATTTACTTGTAATAAGCAACGAATTATTTTCTCTTTCAAGACTTTTCAAAAATTTTATTTATGAACATTATTTTTTTTTAATGTGAACATGATAAAAAACAAAGTATATTCACAAAAATCATCATACTATCTTATGAATTTCCAACACTGCTCCTGTGGTTAAATGATTATCAGAAAGAAATTTATGAAAGAACTTGGAAAAACAAAATCAGTGAAAATATGAAAATCAGGTCAAAGAATCTTTTTAATATATCAAAAAATTGGTATTAAACAACTTTTGAAGCAAAATTTATTAGTATTTTAATGATTTAAAAGTTTACTTAGAAACAATATAATGAGATAATAAATAAATTATAAATTTTATTAAAAATTATTTAATTCATTAAAATATTTAATAAAATCTTCAAATTTGCAACTACAGATCTCAACATATTCTTTTCTATTACCAAATTATATACTTTGTATTTTGCCTCTGATTTTTTCTAATAGTCTTTTCTAGATGTAATTTTCTATCTTCAACTTCTAACATTAATTTTTTAACTCTTGTTTATAACAACTTTTTCAACTTTTTAATTCCGATTCTAACAACCTTTTCAACTTTTTATCTTTTATTTTTAATGCTATAATTTCTTAGGCTAATCTAAATTAATAATAATAATATAGAGTAATATATTTGTAGCTATAGTTACAATAATTACATCCCATAAAAGTCAATCAAATTTAAAGATCAAGTGTAATATAATACAATTAAAAAAATCTAAACAAAATTTGTTTTGTCAAAAATTATTAAAAATCAGTTATAATTCAAAATTGAATATAAAAAACTATTCATTGGGTTTTAACAAAAAAATTTCTTATTAAATTTTACTATAAAACACACCTTTTTCACTTCATTCTAATCTTAACTAACAAAATAATAAGTTATTTTAGTTATAGCTATAGTAGCCTATAGCTACAAATATATTAATCCTAATAATAATTATATTATATATTATTATTATTATATATTATTATTATTTATTATTTATTATTTATTATTATTCAACTCTTTTTAACAATTATTTGAATACAAATTAACAAAAAACTAAAACTTAAAAAGGTACTAACAACTTTAGTAAAAAGTTTTAAAAAACTTAAAAAATAATTAAAGTAATAGATAAATAGTTTATAGACAAACAAGATCAGGTTTATAGTAGACAAGATAAAAAAAAATTTAAATGTTTTGAAGAAAATTTCTTAAAAAAGTAAATATTGCTCTAAACTCTGAATATAGATTACTGTTAATAACATAAACATCTAAACAAAAGTAAACAAATAAAATAAATAAATAAATA